TAAGTTACTGCTTGCATGAACCTCTCAGATGCCTCCTACGTGTGCAGAGAACTTCTATGTAGACACAAAAATAAACACCATCAAGCAGAGGACCAGGATTTATTTTTCTAGCACTATTTTCTGGGAATTCTGATAACATTCAGGGTTTCTTTGTTATCTAACTACAGACAATGTAAGCCATCCAGTCACAATCAGCTGAACTACTACTCACCTTAAACGTGGCTTATGTACGTGCCCTTATTCCTCTCAGGCTTACCTACATTGAGCTTTTCTTAACATTTCCCACAGCTGCAGTCCCACCAGCAGTGGAAGTTCCAGTGTAGACAGTGGCCTGGTATTTTTACCACTGTATCATCCAGCCCTGTTCAGAGTGAGTCTGGATGACATAAATAGATCTAAACACATAGGACTCTTGCTGACGCTAGCACTTTTCCATTAGTATCACCAGTAGAACTTTGCTGATGTTAGCAAAGGTGAGAAATGTTTGCTTATCATAGACAAAGTCTAACATGTTTCTGTCTACATAGGCAAGAACCAGTACAGTTAAGCTGTAGTAATATAATAAGACAGCAGATGGCATCCAGCCCCAGCCCAGACCTGCTGCGTCTGGGAGAGAGGCACCCCTCCCCCGGCCCCAACCCAGTCTGGCCCAGACCTGCCGCGGATGGGGGAGAGGCACCTATCCCACGGCACTATCCCCAGAGCAGCCATGGTGGGGAGAGGCACCTCTACCCCCCACCCCGAGCCCAGGTACTGCTGCAGGGAGAGAGAGCTGGGGGGAGTCCTCTCTCCCTGCCGTAGCCCTGAAGCAGCCTGGACCTCAAACCCCTGATCCCTGGGGTACATGGGTGGAGGGGACACCCTGACATCAGTGCCCCCCTATCTCCCTCTGCTCTGCACAGCAAGCAGGAGGGTCCCAGGAGCAGCTGGTCAGGGGCTCCAAGGCAGAGGGTAGGAGCAACACGGCTGCAGAGCAACGGGTGGGAGGGACATCTGAACACACGTCGCTAGATGTGCATGGCTCTGCTAATCAAGTTCGCGGCACTTGATTGACTCTTGGGCAGCAATGCGGCCACGCAGCTTAGAGAAAACACAGATTAGCATACTATAAACATAGATCAAACTTCAGAGTCTAAACTCTCAACCCTATTAGACTGGGCAGCATCTAGATTAAGCAGTTTTTCTCATCCCACTGGATATTGCAGTTCTGCAGGTTTATGTCTCATTTGCTCTTACTGTTCTTGCTGTTATTTCTGCAACTCTGCTCAACTTAGTTCTTCTCTTCTCATGGCTGGGCAGCTGCTAATTTTTTGACCCCACGACCTTGGGCCGGGGCAAGCGTCTTATTCTCACACAGAGCTAGCTAAGGTGCCAAGTTAACCCGTTCTCTGCTCTCTTCCTCTTTCCCCCTCTTGGCCTCTCACAACCTGCAAAGGAATCTTCCACTCCCCACTCACACACCTTTGACCCTCCCCAAAATGCTTTGCAATGCTAGCAACAGCGTTAGCAATATACAATGCTAATTTGCCTTCCCAGGGAACTCCCTGAGGGAGGGGTCCTTGGGGTGTAACACTATGAACTGCAATATCCAGTGGGGTGAGAAAAACTGCTTAATCTAGATGTTGCCCAGTCTAATAGGGTTGACAGATTAGACTGTGTGTGCTTATATTTTATTTCTTTTGGTAACTAACTTTGACTTTTTGCCTATCACTTAAAATCTATCTTTTGTAGTCAATAAATTTATTTTACTGTTTATCTTTTCCGGTGAGTTTGTATGAAGTGTGTGGCAAATCTGCTCAGGGTTTGCAAAGGCTGATTTATATGAATTTTCCATTGATAAAGTGGTGAACCAATTAATAAATCTGTATTGCTCATCTTGAGTAGTGCAAGATGATATATTCCTGAGGTACAGTGCTGGGAGCTGGTGGGATTTGGCTCTGGTGGCTTTCTCTGTGTGATACATGAGTGGCTCTGGGAGCATTCATGCAATCTAGCTGGGCCTGGGGCTCCACATAAAGTTGTGCTGAGTGATAACAGCACCTGGAGGGGTTTGGTTTGCTGCTGGTCACTAGCAAGGCATTGTGAGAGACAGCCCAGACTGGAGAGAGTTCAGGGGGCACAGCGGTCCCACAGTCCCAGGCTGCATCCCGGGGATGCCATCACACATCCCAGTGGAGAAAGTATACCCAACTTCTGAGTAGGAGGCAATTGCTTGTTAAGAAACTACTACAGTAGTCTCCAGTTCAGACTTTTCTTCCATGCCATACTGTCCTCTGCCTGCCAGCTTTTTCTCTGTGATTAAAGGGTCTGACAATTGTCTCTTCAAACCATGTTCCTCTAGGGAAGGAGGACAGAAAGAACTAATCAATTCTGGAGCAGGAGAAAACAATTAACTGGTGCCAAATGAATTATCTCCAGAATTGGCAAAAGTACCTGTTACATAATAACAGACGTTAGAAATTAAAAAAACATGATGTAGTTCATCCTCCATGCTTGCTGACCAGTGAAAGATTACTCAGTACAGTATATATTCCAGTGTGTTGTTTAGTTCCTGTGGGGCTTCTATTGCACACTGACTCAGGCCACTCCTGGGCTCAGGCCAAATCACTACCAAGTCGCCATTCAAGAGTAAAGAAACCAGAGGGGTTTTATTTGGCTATCACCCCTTTAGGCAGGGCACCATCTATTACTGCCTGCCTTTGCAGCCATAGGGAAGTCATTGGTAGCAAGGTTGTATGACATTCACATGTCAGGCCTACCTTCCCTTCAGAGATGCTCTGACTGGCTGTAGACCCTCAAGCACATCATAGCTAGGACATCACAACTATAGTCCTGCATCAGGCTTGCTTTCCCTCAGGCATACTATGGTGACAGGCACCCATCTCTTAAACAGCCCCTCCCTCCCAGCCAGATCTGTCTCACATAGTGAGAGCTGAAGGTCTGCTTTACTTATGAGTCAGCCCTCAACTGAGCTGTGCTCTCCCCTTTTAACCTCTCCCTCTAAACCTGCCACCTACTGCAGGTATGCTGGGGTGGGGCTGATTGAGACCACAGCAGCTCATTCCTGGCAAGTGTGCAGTTTGTATGCCCCATTGCACAGACACTGGTTTCCTCTGGGCCCTGGGGGTGCTCAACCCCCAGCTCTTCTCCTGGACCTGCCCCCCAACCTCGTTCCCCAAGCCCCCACCCCCGTTCTACCCCAGCTCTTTCCCCCCAGTTCCATTCCCTCCCCCAGATGCGCCCCATCCCTTCTCCTCCCCATTCCCCCCCAGAGCCTCCTGCACACCACAAAACAGTTTATCGCAGTGGGTGGGAGGTGCTGGGAAGGAGGGGGAGGTACTGATCAACAGGGCCACTGGCAGATGGGAGGTGCTGTGGGGGGAGGGGAGGAGTTGGCTGCTGGTGGGTGCTAATCACCCACTATTTTTTTTCCATGAAAAGCACCCTCAGAATTGGTGCCTATGCCCCATCGAGGTCCACTTGGGAGATTATTCCAGTCAAATGGCGATCACTGACAGGAGATCTATTTTAAATGTAATACTGCCACCCACAGTGGTATCTGAGTACCTTTCAAATAAAATTGATAGCAATAGTGAAGTCCCTACTGGACTTAATGGAGTAGCTGCCACTTCTCCCTCTTTGGGGCAAAAATTTTAGTTGGGGTATGGGGTTCATTTACCTTTTTTTAGTTTGATGCGTGTGACGGGTTGGATCACAGAAACCCCCTGGGAGCTGCCACCTGATGTGCCAAGACTACCTCTGCTCCTGTTTTCCCTGCCAGCTCAGGACTCCAGCACCCTGTCTTGCTGAGCGAGACACTCCCGTCTGCGCCAACAAAGACCCAGGGTCTGAATTACTTGCCCCAAAGCTGCACATTTACCTGAAAACAGCTCACAGAAGTGTGCTTGTCTTTAGCACTCAGATGCCCACCTCCCAGTGGGGTCTAAACCCAAATAAATCTGTTTTACCCTGTATAAAGCTTATGCAGGGTAAACTCATAATTTGTTCGCCCTCTATAACACTGATAGAGAGATATGCACAGTTGTTTGCTCCCCCAGGTATTAATACATCCTCTGAGTTAATTAATAAGTAAAAAGTGATTTTATTAAATACAGAAAGTACGATTTAAGTGGTTCCAAGTAGTAACAGACAGAACAAAGAAAGTCACCAAGCAAAATAAAATAAAATGTGCAAATCTATATCTAATCAAACTGAATACAGATAATCTCACCCTCAGAGATGCTTCAGTAAGTATTTTTCTCAGACTGTGCACAATTCTTTCCCCTGGTACAGCTCTTGTTCCAGCTCAGGTGGTAGCTAGGGGATTCTTCATGATGGCTCCTGTCTCCCTTTTGTTCTGTTCCACCCCTGAATGTGTATATCTATCTATCTATATCTTTTGCATAAGGCAGGAATGCTTTGTCCCTCTGGGTTTCCACCCCCACTCCCACCCCCCGGAAAAGCACCAGGTTAAAGATGGATTCCAGTTCAGGTGACATGATCACATGTCACTGCAAGACTTCATTACCCACTTGCCAGCACACAGGTATATAGGAAGACTCACAGGTAAAACACAGCCATCTGCAGACAATGGTTCTGGTTAATGGGAGTCATCAAGATTCCAAACCATCATTAATGGCCCACAGTTTGCATAATTACAATAGGCCCTCAGAGTTATATTTCATATTCCTTGTTTCAGATATAAGAGTGGTACATTTATACAAATAGGATGATCACACTCAGTAGATTATAAGCTTTGTAATGATACCTTACAAGAGACCTTTTGCATGAAGCATATCCCAGTTACATTATATTAACTAATTATATTTTTATAAACCATATAGACTGCACAACGTCACAATGTGTTTCTGGGTTTTTTTTTTTGGGGGGGGGGGAGAGTGGTGGGGGGGGGGGGTTTAAAGTTATATTTGTTTCCTATATCCAGCTAAAATTTTCCTTTACTCAGATTCACTCAGTTACTCCGAGTTATATCCCTAATACTATTTCAATCAATCCTTCTTCCATGGTGTTTACATCCTTCAATCTTCTAGGTAGTCATCCTCTTCCCCTCTGTAGTTGTTGGTCAATCAAGTTTTATATTTAATTATTTTAATCTTTTCTTGTGCATCAAGCTCTTCATCTTTTTGTTGTTGGTGTTCTTGGAATATTCTCTAGCTGTTCAAAGTCTTTCTGGACTTGAGGTGCCCATCCCCCTATTCTCTATCCCTTTTAGGTCAGGTATCAGCTATCTGGTAATGGCAGAATGAACTTGTGCTACTCCTGTGCCATTGGAGTGACAGAGAGAACCGGGTATTTGCAAAAAGTTTCACACAGCCCAATGTACACAAAGGGGTTGAGGCAACTGTTCGCATAGCCTAGGCTGATGGCTGCATTATATGTGTAATAGAAGATAAGACTTGGGTGACTGATAGACAGCTGTATCAACTGTAGCAAGTGATATGGTGACCACCAGATAAAGAAGACCAGGCATATAGCAATGGCAATCCGTCTCACTCTTCTCAACCTCAGCCGGACACTGCATTGGCTAGCTGGGGCTACAGAGGACTTCATGTGTCGAAGTATCTGTGCATATGCGGCAACAATAACTACAAAGGGAAGAGCGAAGGCCAGGAAGAATTGGTACAAAGTGAACCAGTACCGGTCAGTCTCTTGATTGGGGAGGCAGATGCCACAGCCCACAGTACCACCAGGGAATGGAATGAGCCTGGCATAGAGCCATACTGGAGTAATGCTGATGAATGAGAATCCCCAGAGGAGGCAGATCACCAAGGTAGCGACAAAGGGCTTCCTGAATCTTGAAGAGGAAATGGGGTGAACCGTGGCCAAATATCGGTCTATGGACATAGCAGTAAGAATATAAGTGCTGGTGAACTGGCTGTTGGCATCCATGGCAGTGATGAGTGCGCACATGGTCTCACCAAAGTGCCAGATTCCATTGCCCATGAGTTGGTGGATCATGAATGGCATGCCCAAGAGGAAAAGGAGGTCCACTACCGAGAGATTGATGATGAAGATGTCTGGGACATTGTGGCACCCATGGAACTTGGATTTCTTCACCACTGTAAAGATGACCATAGAGTTGCCAGCAATGCCAAAGAGACAGATGATGCCAAACACAGAGGGCATGATGATGCTGGTATAAGAAATGCTCTGCAGTCGTGGCCACTCTGAAAACAAAGGAAACATTAACAGGTGGACTTGTCATTTACCTTTGTGACAGAATTTGGTGCTGGAAAAATGGCTCTGCCAATGCACCTCCAGACTATCCCTATCACACTCTCTGCTGTTCCACACAAACTCTGCCAATGGGTGAGACTTGCAGCAGCTTTGTTATTCCAGTTCTGGGCCACACAGCTCTACCAATACACCTCAACAGGAACACAGGAATTGCCAAACCAGATCAAGCCAGTAGCCCCTGGAGTCTAGTATCCTATCTCTAATAGAGAGCAATAAGATATTCTTCAAGGGAAGATTAAAGAAAACCCATAATGCACAATTATGGAATAATTTACCCTTCAAGAAAGGGTTTCTGAATCCAGACATTTTATGATTAACTTATACCCTGAAGCATGTAGGATTTTATCCCTTATACTTTATTATCCTAGTTAATGTAACTGCAGATGTTCTCCTTATCTGTTTTAAAGGAAGTCTAATCCTATTTCAAATCACAATAAGCTCTTGGCCTCAGTGATAACTTGTGAAATTCATTGCCACAACATAACCATGTATTGTATAAAAAGTCTCTCTTTTTAGTTGTGTAAATGCCGCTTTTATTGATGTGTTGAAGAGGGAGCAATAAGCAGCATCCAATTTACCCTCTCTGTACTCTATTTTATTTTCTATATCTCTATTATTTTCTCTTTTATTAATCTCTTCTCTAAAACAGTTCTAGTCTTTTCAGTTTCAACATGGAAATCTCTCTGTGCCTTTATTGTTTTTAAAACCCATCTCTGGACCCTCTCCATTTCTGCAGTATCTTTGAGATTCAGTGACCAGACTGAACCCAATTGTAATGAGGTGGAACAACTTCATTCTTGCACAGTGGGTGTTAACTCACCCTGTTGGGCTCAGCTAACCCTGCCCTTTCCCCCTAGCAGGAAGTGCAGGGGCGGGGCAGGAAATATAAGGGCAGGAACCTGCCCCTCAGTTGAGGGGAGACCAGGGAAAGAGCCAGATATCCTTCCCAGGGAGCTGAACCACCTATGGAGCCCATGACCGGCTGTGGCAGGCAATGTCTCTCCTGAACAAGCCTGGAGATGAGGCAAGTACAGCCCTGTGCAGATACAAATTTATATCCGTGGATATAAATTGGTATCTGTGGAACTGCAGGGCTCTCCTGGGATCCGCAGCAGTGAAAGGAGCAGAACATGGGGCCGCTGCTCCCAGGAGTCAGTGGCCTGTGCCTGCAGCACCTCTGGTATGGCTGTTCTGCCTCCAGCCCCGCCCCTGTTCCTTCCACACAGCTGTCTGTCTCCTGTCTGGGGGCATGCATGCCACTTGAACACAAGAGCATGACTAGGGACAGCTGCTGGTCAGCCTGGTGTGTGCCCTAGTGGGCAGGGCTGGGGGCGATACAGCTGTGCCAGAGGAGCTGCTGGTGTGGGGTGCTGGCTCTTGGAAGAGGTGGCCCTACGTTCTGCTCCTTTTGCTGCTGTGGTTCCTGGGAGAGCCCTGCGGTTCCGTGGATACCGATTTATATCTGCATCCATGGGTATAAGGTTGTATCTGTGCAGGGCTCTAAAGGCAAGCCACTGACCAGGCAGGCTGAGAAACCCACAGAGAAAGTGGAGAGTGAGCTGCTCGTCAGAGAGACTGGGAATCAGGCCCCAGCAGCTGCTGAGCAATCCAACCAGATGCTGATAGGAGGCAGTCCAGGGAAATGAGACATTGGTCTTGTGTTGCTTGGAGGCAAGGCAGTGACTTCATGTTTCCCTGCCAGCCCAGTGATGGGATCACCTGTTGCTTAAAGGGCCCTGGGCTGGGACCCCCTGGCCCTGCATTTAGGGTTGGATGAGTGCTAATCCCTAGGCCAAGAGGCCTCAGCCTGTTTATTGGCCCAGCCACACCCAGGAGGCCTGAGCTATTGCATATTAAATTGCCCCTCTGCAAGCCAGGATGCCTGAGTGATAGATCCATGTAGATGCTGAGTCCCCAGTGCTGCCAAGAGCAGATCTTCTGACCCTGAAATGCAGGAACTATACACCAATATGCCAGGTGAGGGTGTATTTTACTCCTTTCTTGAGAAAAGAGCTTGAAACAGAACTTTTTTTTGTTTTACATTGTACTTTTAGCCCTGATCCTATGATATGGCTAAGGAGCCCTCCCTGCAAGCACTGAAGGGAGTTGCAACAATGGCTTGGGGGTCATCTGTCTGGTCCCTGGTATATGTTAAAAGCCCACAGGCTGTTCTGATAAATTGGCTACCAATGGCAGCTGGAGATCAGAAAGTATAAAGGAGCTTGGCTACACTCAGTTTCCCCTAGCAATGCCCCTGACACCAATAGCTGGGGGGTAGGAGGGGTGGCGGGAATACCTTAGGCGGCTCTAGGGTGACCAGATAGCAAATATGAAAAATCGGGACTGGGGGTGGGGGGGTAATAGGAGCCTATATAAGAAAAAGACCCAAAAATCGGGACTGTCCCTATAAAATCGGGACATCTGGTCACCCTAGGCGGCTCTGTAGGAACTCTGTCACCCAAGAATTCCTTTACTCTTGGGAAATCTTCAACTGGCTTGATATGCTCAGTTTAGTACTGCTTTGTAGCAATGGACAGTGCAAATCAGCTCCAACATACCAGAAACTGGGTATTTTTCTTTAAATTCCCCACAGTTGTAACACTGGTGCAGCTCCATCAGTAGCAGTGATAGTGGAAGTTCTTGTGTAGACAAGGTACCAGCTGCTACTAGCATTGCCAAACCTCTCATCTAGGCCTGCTCCAAACAGGGTAGATGACATGGTGGTTAAAATGACAGGAGCCTACCAAACTAGTACTCTCACAATTGGTGGAACAGAAACAGTGGGAAATAGCCTGCAGACAGCACCCAAGAAATCAACTCTCCTGTTTGGGCTATGTTATTTAAAGATTAATCTTGTTCCTGCTTCTTCATTCTTTCCTCTCTTCCCCAGAATGGTAGCAGGCAGGGGCGGCTACAGGCACCAGCACAGCAAGTGCATGCCTGGGGCGGCCTGCCGGTTGCTGTGAGGGCGGCAGTCAGGCAGCCTTCAGCAGCATGCCTGCGGGAGGTCCGCTGGTCCCATGGCTTCGGTGGCAATTCGGCGGCGGGCACGCCAAAGGCTTGGGACCAGCAGATCACCCGCAGACACACCGCTGAATCTGTGTGACCAGTGGACTGCCCGCAGGCGTGCCGCTGAAGGCCGCCTGACTGCTGTGCTTGGGGCGGCAAAAAACAGAGCTGCCCCTGGTAGCAGGTGGGTTTATTATTTTGTGGGTGGAGCATTTCTGTGTCTAAGGCCAACTCTACACTTAAGATTTAGGGTGAGATAGCTACTGTGCTCAGGTGTGAAAATCCACATCCTGAGTGGCATAGTTATGCCAAACCTACCTCTTAGCTAGCATTGCTTGGGGAGGTGGTATTTCTACAGCAACAGAAAAGCATGCACAACCACCTGGCTGCCCCTGAGCCTAGGAGCCTCAAGGACGTGCTGGCTGCTTCCGGGAGCCACCTGAGGTAAGCACCGACTGGCCAGAGCCTGCACCCCACCCCCAGCCATGAGCCCCCTCCCACACCCAAACTCCCTTGCAGAGCCTGCACCCCCTCTTGCACCCCAACCTCCTGCCCCAGGCTCAGCCCAGAGCCCCCTCCCACACTTTGAACCCGTTGGCCCCAGTCCAGAGCTTGCACCCCAACCCCCTGCCCCAACCCAGTGAAAGTGAGTGAGGGTGGGGGGAAAGCGAGTGAAAGAGGCAGGAGGGATGGAGTGAGAAAGGGCAGGGCAGGGGTGTGACCTTGGGGAATAGGCGGGGTAGGAGTCAGAGCAAGGGTGCTTGAGTTTGTGCGATTAGATAGTCGGCAACCCTAATGTAGCCATAGCGTTATTCTGGGAAGGTAAAGGAGATGGGTAGGAGGTGGTCTGGGGGACAGTGGCTTAGAACCCTAAGTGTCAAGTGTAGCTGTCCACCATTGGGTCCTGAACTGGAGCCTTGCAGACGGGGCAGGCCCAGAGGATATTACAACACCAGAGCTTTCACCTAAGGTAAGAGGCCTGCTGGAATAGACCTTTAGTGCTCAAGGGCCCAGCCCCCCAAATCCCTGTACTGAAGGGGAAGGCTGGAAACCCTTGGGGCGGGAGTGCTGAAGGGCAGGTGTTTTCAATGGGGAGATGACCTGTCTGACCACCAGGTGGCATTGTGGGCCGTTGTGCACCTTCTACACACCCTCAGATTTTTGTTCCCAGATTTCTAATATCTATTTATTGCTTCAAAACACTTGTTTCCTAATATTCATTTCATTTTACCCTTCACCCTCCCTTGAGCTGGTTACTAGTAGGTTTCAGTTCATTTGGCCTCTGTACCTCTAGTAACCTGCGTAAGTTTTACAGAGACAAGGTGGGAGAGGTAATATCTTTTATTGGACCAACTTCTGTTGGTTAGAGACACAAGCTTTAGAGCTTACAGAAATCTTACAAAAACCTCCAGGTTTTTCAAGCAGTTTGGTTAAAAGGAGAATTTATATCACCCATTCAACCCCTCACCACACCCCTGCCTCCCTGAGTTAGAAAGCTATACTCACTGGTGGAAGTCAGAGGGACTTCAGGTTCAGAGCTGTTGCAGATATTCAGTTCTAGAGGCAGCAGATACATGGCTACATCTCACTCTTCCCCAGCTGATCACTCCTGTGGTCTCATGCAGATTACTGCAGGCTCTGTGCTAGCAGTTTCTTGTAACACAGCCTCTCTGATTCCAACGGAGAGTGTCTCTCCCAGCCTTGCTGTTTCACTGTTCACATTTGGTACAAACTACTTTCTCTCCCTCCTTCTCCATCAGTTCCCACGGGCATCACCTAGATACAGTAAAATGCAGGAGATATAAATTAACCTTTTCCCTGCCTGTCAGATATACCAAGACTGCAACTTGCATTTGCTAGTATTGCTTCATCTGTGGAGGTGCTGGCCAGCCAGAGAAGCTAACCTTCATCTGCCTACCTTCATAGAAAGGTTCACCAGGTGTTTGGGACTCGGACTCTTGAGCTGAACAGTTTCTGACAACAGCTTTTTACTCACTGCAACACTGGGTTCTACAAAGGAAAAGTATTTACTTACTAATTTTTAGAGTGTGCATTGCCATAGCAGCGTGGGGTTGCAACTACAAAGAATAAAACAAAAAATGGATTGAAAAACCAGAACAGTCAGACAAGTGCTGAAGACAATAAATGTATCTCAGGCTGCTCTGAAGGTTGCTAGACTCAGGCTCTGTCAGACTGCTAATGGGAGGGGATTCAAAGATGGGCTCCCTCAATTGAGAGAGCTCTGCCCAGGGGCAGCTCCAGGCACCAGCGCTCCAAGCGGGGGGCGGCCTGCCGGTCGCCGTGAGGGTGGCAGTCAGGCTGCCTTCGGCAGCATGCCTGCGGGAGGTCCGCTGGTCCCGCGGTTTCGGCAGCAATTTGGCGGCAGTTACGCCGAAGGCCCGGGACCAGTGGACCTCACGCAGGCATGCTGCCAAATCCGCGTTACCAGCGGACCTCCCGCAGGCGCGCCGCCGAAAGCCGCCTCACTGCCATGCTTGAGAAGGAAATATTTCCTGAAAGCCAGATGATATTAATTACAGCAAAAGAAAAATCCTGTTTTCCTCAGTCTAGAATTCACTAGGCCTTTGTTCAGGCATCAGGAAGCCCACACAACTGGAATATGAGTTTGGCTCCATCTAGGGGCATGAGTAAAAAATTCACTAACCACAGTATTTCTTAAATAGCTTGTATGTTTACTGGTAGTAAAAACTGTAGTTAGTAAGCCTATGCTGTACTTTCCAGATGAACCATGCTTTTTCAGGCACTCGGCTTTCTAAAACAAATTCCCCAGGCTTGGTCTCTGCCCAAAGGTGATTTTTTTTGAAGGTTTCAGCTGAATTGATTTGAGCTGCTTGAGTTATGTCAATGTTAAAAGCAAGTGAACAAAACAACCCGTTTTTCCTATTTGTATTGTAGTAGCACCCAGAAGCTTCAAGCTCAGAACCCTACTATGCTGTCCTCTGTTCAAACACACAGGAAAACATGGTGCCTGCCCAGAAGAGCTTACATTAACTGAAAAATTGGTGTTCACCTAACAGCTGAAGCCAGAAACTCCAAACTTGGCTTTAGCTCTAAAGTCCTCAGTGAGCAAAGAAAACCAGTTGCCCCTTATGCTTGTAACATTCTCCTTTGAACTAATTCATTAGGCCACTACCCTCTCCTCCTCAAGACATACTTCTGCTTTGACTACAGGAAATCAGCCAGCTAATGATGGCTAGGTCCGAGGAAAAAGCTTTAACATAATTTGGGACTAAGATGTGTACATACTAGTATCTGTAAATGCATTAACCACCTCTCTTATCTCCTATAGTTTGGCCACACTCACTTGTCATATCTCCTTGTAAGTCAGACTGTACATTCATATAATATGCATATGCACCCCCCACCCCATATGATTTGTATGCATCATCCATTCTGTGACAGGTTAGATCACAGAAACCTCCTTGGGAACTGCCAGCTGATGTGCCAAGACTACTTCTGCCCTTGCTTTCCCTCTGCCAGACTGGGAATCCAGTACCCTGTCTTGTTGAGCCAAACACACCAGTCTGCTCCAACACAGACCCAAGGGTTTGAACCACGTGCCCCAAAGCTGCAGACTTAACTGAAAGCAGAAGTGCTCCTGTCTTTAACACTCAGATACCCAATTCCCAATGGGGTCTAAACCCCAAATAAATCCGTTCTACCCTGTATAAAGCGTACACAGGGTAAACTCATAAATTGTTCGCCCTCTATAACACTGATAGAGAGATATGCACAGCTGTTTGTCCCCCCTCGCCCCCGGTATTAATGCATACTCTGGATTAATTAGTAAGTAAAAAGTGATTTGATTAAATACAGAAAGTAGGATTTAAGTGGTTCCAAGTAGTAACAGACAGAACAAAGTGAATTACCAAGTAAAATAAAATAAAACATGCAAATCTAAGCTTGATACAGTAATAAAACTGAATACAGATAAAATCTCACCCTCAGAGATGTTTCAATAAGTTTCTTTCACAGACTGGACACCTTCCTAGTCTGGACACAATCCTTTCCCCTGATACAGCCCTTGTTCCAGCTCAGGTGGTAGGTAGGGGATTTCTCATGATGGCTCCCCCTTTTCTCTGTTCCACCCACTTATATATCTTTTGCATAAGGTGGGAATCCTTTGTCCCTCTGGCTTCCCACCTCCCTCCCCTTCTCAATAGGGAAAGCACCAGGTTAAAGATGGATTCCAGTTTAGGTGACATGATCACATGTCACTGTAAGACTTCATTACCCACTTGCTAGCACACACATACAGGAAGTCTCACAAGTAAAACAGAGCCATCTACAGACAATTATCCTGGTTAGTGGGAGCCATCAAGATTCCAAACCATCATTAATTTCCCACACTTTGCATAATTAAAATAGGCCCTCAGACTTATATTTCATATTTCTAGTTTCAGATACAAGAATGATACATTTATACAAATAGGATGACCACACCCAGTAGAATATAAGCTTTGTAAGGATACCTTACAAGAGACCTTTTGCATGAAGCATATTCCAGTTACATTATATTCATAATCATCAGCATCCTTTCATAAAATCATATCGAGTGCAACGTCACACCTTCCTCACTCTTGTTTGTATTACACCTAATGAAGACTGCAAGCTCCTCAGGGCAGGCACTTTCCCTTGTATATCTGTCAAGTGCCATGTATATCTCTGGAAGTGTAGGAATAATGATAGTTAACATCAGCAGTGTGGTCAAATTAAACTTGCATCAGACACTAACTTTTGAATATCCTGACTTTTGCGTTCTTTATTTCTCAGGCTTAATGTTACTTTCACATCAGTTTTTGCACTTCATTTTTATGAATAGTGAAGTAATGTATACTGTTATACACTGAGCAGCCCCAATATGCTTGATACTGTACGAACATGTAAGAACACAATCCCTGACAATATCTTATAGTCTAAATCAGACACAAATAATCCAGTACAGATTCAAATGGTATTCCCAAGTGAAAGGTCTAATCTTTGGATCAGCATTGCAGATATCTTTGTTTTGTTTTTTATTTTTTATTTTGTGCATATCATATATATAAAATACAGTTTTGGAGGGGCAACCAGACCTGTCCAGAAGACTGTTTCTAGTTAGTCAGTGGATATGTCTAGAAAGCATTTTGGAGCAAGCTTCTTAGCTGGGGATGACAGACTCCTGCTAGTGCTCTAAAAACAGCCATACAGAGACCACAAGTTGCATCTTGCCTAGCTCCAGCCCTTGCTGCAACTTCAATGTACTGTCTATACAACTATTTTTAGATCACTCCCACAAGCCCTGCTAGACCAAGTCTGTCATCCTGGGCTGGGAGGCTTGCTTCAAACTGATGTATAGACATAGCCAATAAGGTTTCAATAGGAGGTAAGTACCTTGATACTTTTGTATCTGGGACTAATGTATTTCTCCTCTGACCAGATGGACTCAAATCTGCCTTAAGCATTCTGAGTTATTTGGTCTCAGCCTTCACCCTGGTGGTCACTGCTCCAGATCACAAAAACATATAGGGCCAGATCATCCTCCCACAGATCAACACATGGAGTCCTTCATATGTGGCTCTATCCTCCTCCACATGGAAGGGGGGCTTGGGTGCCTGGGTCTGCCTGCAGGGAAGGAATGGAGTCATGGTAAACCAGGTCAAGGAACACACACACCATGCCCTCCTTCAGACCAGTGCAATTTCACTAGAAAAGTTAAGTCAGTTCCAGAGACTAACAATTCTTTTTGAGGACCTGTGCCCTAAGGAAGCCACTGCCAAGGGAGCAGAGCCTCAGTAGGAGAAGTACAGAGACTCTGAGGGGATGGCTTTGACTTCCTGCAGTACATTTGTAATTCACCGGTTTTGGACCCTGTCCTCCTGATAGAATGCTGCAGGTGTATCCCAGTGCAGGAATCCTCATAGATATCCTCCATTAAAACAGATTTTACCAGAAAGGGGGATGATCTGGGCCACAATGAGATATAATTAGCCATCTCTGCCCAGTAAAGGCTCACAGCTTGAATAACAGGGATGTTGCATCTCAGTAACTGGGTGAAGTGGTAGAACCATGTTGTTTTCATTTTATACAATATGTTCATCCAGTGCTCTGGCAGCATACATAAACGTTAAAAAACCTTCACTGTCCCAAGTCACCCATAATAAGGTAGTTTTCCCATCTTACTGTCATGAGCAAAGGTCAAAAACAAAGATAAAATCCCCTTCTCTTCAACACTCAAAGAGTGCTGGTTCCTGTAAGCAAGGAGTAATGTGGCCTAAGGGACAGGACACTGGACTGGTAATTAGAAGATCTGGCTTTAGTTCCATCTGTGCCACTGATGTGCCGCATGATCTTGGGAGGGTCAATTTGCCTTTCCTTGGCCTCATCTATAAAATGGATACAATATTTAGTCTCCTTTGCAAATTGCTTTGAGATCTACTGGTGAAATGTTGTTATAAACCCCAGTGATTCGTAGATTCCAAGACTAGAAGGGACAATTATGATAATCTAGTCTGACTTCCTGTATAACCCAGGCCAGAGAACTTACCCAAAATAATTCCGAGAGCAGATCTTTTAGAGAAACATCCAATCTTGATTTGCGATTTGTCCGTCAAGGAGAATCCACCACAACCCTTGGTAAGCGGTTCCAATGGTTAATTACTCTGACCATTCAAATTTGATGCCTTATTTCCAGTCTGAATTTGTCTAGCTTCATCTTCCAGTCATTAGATCATATTATACCTTTCTCGGCTAGACAGAAGAGCCCATTGTTAACTGTTTGTTCCTCATGTAGATACATCTCTTTGTTAAGCTAAATAGATTGAGGCTATCATTATATAAGTGATGTTTTCTAATCTTTTAATTATTCTTGTGACTCTTCTCTGAAACGGCTCCAGTTTATCAACAGCCTATCTTGAATTGTTAACACTAGAACTGGACACAGTATTCCATCAGCAGTTGCACCAGCACCAAATATACAGGAAAATAACTTCTCTACTCTTACTTGAGTTTCCCCTGTTTATTCTTCCCGGGATCTCATTAGTTGTTTTGGACACAACATCACACTTAGCGCTCATGTTCAGCTGATTATCTGCTATGACCCTGTGGCAGGCCTGGCACTGCACCACCCCTTTGGGGCAGGGGGGGACTGGGGTGTCAGAACCTCACCACTCCCAAGTTCACATGCTCGCTTCTCTGTGGGCAGTCTGATGCAACCTAATAGCCTCCCTTCACACAATCACCTCTTGGTCAGGTTAGTGTGCCCTAACAGCCAGAGTCC